ATTACATGTTCTTTGAAATTATGAAGCAAAGAAAGATCTTGCAACTGACACAACTCCATGGATTATACATTGCACTTTCTGGTCTTATAAATAGCAACAAATTAATTTAAACCATCACACAGCAAGGCTGAATTGCAGCTTATTTCGGCATTTGGAAGTGTACTGTATGAATCAGAGGCTGTTCTGTGTAGTTCTTCAGAAACACATCAGAATCCCAGAGTGCGTACCGAGCACCCGTGTTCACGCTCACGGAGCAAAACTCATTTTCAAGACTGACATTTACATGGATTCATTAAAAACACATTTAAATGCTGAAACTCTTTGGTGGTCTTGTGTTGACATTAATCTTCTGTGTTAACTATCAGCAAGATTTCAGAAAGGCTGCATTAATTACAGCAATAGCCTGAAACAACGCCTACAGCTATTTGGCTATTAATTAATATTATCCAGGAGCCCATGCGGTCTATGTGACATCAGCTGATCAAGAAAGACGTTTCAGATGTGAAAGTTATTTAAATTTAGATTTTTACGAAGTCCTTTTTTTTCATCTTTGGACTAACATGCACTGCATAACAAGACCAGAAACATCTATTACACTAAATATAGTTAATTCTGATTTTCTATAGACACAGCTGCATGAGACAACAGTGAGTAGATCAACCAATCGCACATTTTGCCGAAGCAAAATTATTTATTGTTGGTTGGTGTTTTTTGAGCTTTAATTCCTGAGAGAAGTTAAACCAGCACAATTTAAAGGGGTCATATGATGCTGCTAAAAAGAACATTATTTTGTGTATTTGGTGTAATGAAATGTGTTTATGCGGTTTAAAGTTAAAAAAAATAAATAAATATTTTCCACATACTGTACATTATTGTTTCTCCTCTATGCCCCGCCTTTTGGAAACGCGCCGATTTTTACAAAGCTCATCGGTCTGAAATAGCAAGGTGTGCTGTGATTGGCCAGCTATCCAATGCGTTGTGATTGGCCGAATACCTCAAGCGTGAGCCGGAATATGGAATTGTTACGCCCCTCACATACTGTTAAAGCCGTGTTCGGCCGGAGCGACAAGACAAAAACATTAAAACCCATTACAAACGAGGCATTTGTTGCATCCAGTGGGGACATAATTACTGAATATAATGACTTATACTGTCTTTTTACGCGTTGCGTTGCATTGCATTGCATTGCATCGCGCAGCGTAAACATAAAACTCTTGTCTGCATTTGTGATCGGAGAAATGACAAACAACAAGTGCTACACTGCCCAAAAGTCGCATTTGAATCATCAGTGGCAAATCCTTTAAATGAAAACGTACTTACGTGAGTCAGAACTGCCGGCATTGTAGTCTAACGTTACTCTCCCAGGATCAGTAAACAGTCCTCCATAAAATGTGCTGCACACATCTGGATATTTGGGTTAAACTGTTCTGGAACAGTGTTGTAAATACAACTTAACCACTGATTTGTAGTCGTGTCCTCTTTTGGAAGTCCAAACAAAGCAGTTTCTCTTTCACAACGAAAAACACAGCGGCCTAGCGTGAGGGAAAGCCCCGGCTTAGCATGTGCTGAGGCCGGGATTGAGTGAGCTGAGGCCGAGCTAGAGTGAGCTGAAGCCCCGGCTTAGCGTATGCTGAGGCCGGGATAGAGTGAGCTGAGGCGGCGGGGTCGAGAACGGCGCGCCCGGCGGATGCGACGAATGAGCGGCAACCACATGTGACGACCCTGGGCTGGACTCCGCTTTGTCCACGGTGAAAGCCGATCTGGCGATCCACAGCACGAAGTTGATGTATTCCCTCAGCGACCAGCACAGATCAGCTCTAGGCATGACGAAACGGATAT